CACTGGCTGCTCAGTTTGGACTACATGGCACTCAGCTTTCCCCCATCAATCCCGATCTCACTCTCTCCACCTCTCCCCCCTGCCCCAGCACCTTCTTTCTTTGTGCTTTTACAGCATCCTGTAGATAGCTCCATCAGAACATCTGCCACGTTGTTTACAACCGTCAGTTTATATACCCTTCTTCTTAATTAGTCTATCAGTTCCTAAAGAGCAAGAATCTCAGGGCGCCTGGGTGGCTCAGATGGTTAAGACTCTGCCTTCAGCTCAGGTCATGATCCCAGGGTCCTGGGATCGAGTCCCACATCGGACTCCTTGCTCGGCGGAGAGCCTGCTTCTTCCTCTCCCTCTGCATCTCCCGTTGCTCAGGCTCTGTATCTCTCTGTCTCATATGAATAAATTAAAAAATCTTTAAAAAAAAAGCAAGAATCTGTATATTACATTTGAATTCTCAGTGTGTACCATGCATCTGGTATATAGTAGATGTGCTCTCTACTGGGACCTTGTTCCAGCTAATTTTTCACTCTGCTCCCAAAATTTAAAAAATAAAAGGCAAACAAAACCTGTGCTTTATCAAACATACTGTGAAACTTTCATAAGTAGTCTTTTACGTGTTTTTTAAACTTCAGCTTTGGGAATGATCTGCATATCTAGTGGGATCCAAACCCATCAATTCACTCCTGACCTCTTGCCAAATCCTATGGCTTTTCACAGTTCCTTACTCTCTTTGCAGCTTTCAACTATTGTCCATTTTCCTCCTTAAACTACCTTCTATGACTTCACACCATTGTCAGGCATTGACTGCTCTTGTTTCAGATGCCTCATTGCCTTGACTAAACTAAACTACCTACCATCAGAGTAAACACATTCTCATCTGCACTTTTGGGCTATCTTGCTATTTGTGTTAGCAGCTGCCTCAACAAAAAATCTTATCCTGTGAAAGTCCCCTATTGATGCAAGAATTTCTTCAAATTTAATGTCCTGGTAGCTTAATTAAGATACAAGTTTCTCGGGGCGCCTGGGTGGCTCAGGTGTTAAGTGTCTGCCTTCAGCTCAGGTCATGATCCCAGGGTCCTGGGATCGAGCCCCGCATCAGGCTCCCTGCTCAGTGGGAAGCCTGCTTCTCCCTCTCCCACTCCTCCTGCTTGTGTTCCCTCTCTCGCTGTGTCTCTCTCTGTCAAATAAATAAATAAAATCTTAAAAAAAAAAATACAAGTTTCTCCCCTAACCCTCTAGGTCTGGGGGCACCTGGGTGGCTCAGTCGTTAAGCATCTGTCTTTGGCTGGGATCCAGCCGGTCATCGGGCTCCCTGCTCCGCAGGAAGCCTGCTTCTCCCTCTCCTACTCCCCCTACTTGTGTTCCCTCTCTCTCTCTCTAATAAATAAATAAAATCTTAAAAACAAACAAACAAACCTCTAGGTCTGGTATGGACAGACTAAAGCAGCCTCTTCTCCCTTTATTTCAGACTCCAGTATTGGCATACTTTTTGCGGGGAGAGGTCATGCCCAGGGTTTTTTTCCTGTTATTGTTGTTTATTAATTAGCAAGTGGTTTTTAAGCATCCTCCGTTCCCTTCCTAATTCCCTACTTCCCTCCACAAGTACATTTTCCAAGAGTCCCTATGGAAAGTGGATGGAAGTGGAAGCCAATATGTGGGGTCGTGGCCTTGTAGCTCATTTAACTCCAAATTTATTTTTAAATTTACTTAAGATTATCTGAGGGAAAAAAAATATATATGCCATAATACGTGTACAGGTGGGTTTTCACCTTTTTAAGGGCCATTAGGTTCTCCTGTGAAAGCGTGGGGCAGGGGTGAGGGGGTCAAACCTGTTCCTTAAAACAGCACTATTTAGAGCAGAAACCCCAGTGGCGCGGATATTAGAGGCAAGTTGTACTTAAAGATAGAAAGTGCAGGAGTCTTCCCTCTCTGTGATCGTGGGCAAGTCACGAAAGTTTGGGGCTTATTTCTTGTAAACTGGGAATAACCTTACCGGGTTATTGAGAAAGTAAATGGAATAACCTAAGTAGAAGCACTTGGAGAAATAACAACGCCGGTTTATGTGAACAAGGGACGCCGAGCAGCCGGATTCCCACCCGTCGGGGTTATCCCCTTCCCCTAACTCGGGGGCTGCGTCATACTGAAAGCCCGCGGCGGCGGCGGCGGCGGCGGCGGCTCGTCTCCATGGCAACCGCCGCTCCATCCCGGGCCGGCCCCCAACCCGGCCACGGGGACCGGAAGCAGCTTCCAATCCGGCGCTTCCCCGGCGTCTTCCGGATAACGCGGGGTCGCTCTTCTCGGTCGGGAGGTGAGAATCGAGGCCTCTTCTGAGCCCCTAGGCCGCGGGGAGAAGCGTCCTCACCCGGGGGTGGAAGGAGGCGGCCGCGCACCCCAGCACCGCCGCCAACCAGCCCTCCCGGCTCCTCCCTCCGCGCACGCCCTCTTTATACCTGCCCCGACTCCTATCGCCCCCTGGCGCTTCCCGCGGGTCCTACCTGGTTGCCCCTCACCGCGCGTCCGCACGCCCCTCCCTTCGTTCTCCCCGCGCAGCCCCGCAGCGCCTGCCGCCGCGGCCAAACCAGCTCGGCTCCCAGCCGGCGCGCGCTCACTTGCGCTCGGCGCAGCGTCCCCAGCGCCCGCGCGCCGCCCGCAGTCTCGCGGAGCCGGGACCCGCGCGGGAGGGGCGCTCGCGGGGCGCGGCAGGGGGGGCGACGCGTCCGAGGGACCTCGGGCGCCAGCCCTCCGCTAGCCGGCCCGCTGGAGGAGGGATTTTGGAGTGAGAGTCGGTCCTCTGTGGAAGGACCCGGATTCGGGGCTCTCAGCTAAGCCTCCGCTCCAGGGAGCCGGTTCGTTACCGACCCGCGTGCGGTGTTGGGGGTTCGGTCCCCTCGTCTCCCGTGTAGCGCCGAGAGCTGTGGTGCAGGCGGCACGTGTCGGCGGCTGGTGCTGAAGAGGCAGAGTGCGCCCCGACCGTCCCTCCCTCTCCGTGACTTCCAGAGGCTTAGTTTAGGGTCCCTCAATGTAACGCCCCCAAACGGTTTCCAAACTCATGGCCTCAATCCTTCCCGCCGCTCAGGTCTCGACCCTAGAGTCTGTCCCGACCCAATACCATCCGGTCTGCTGCTCCTTCTCTGCCCTGGGACCCCGGCCTCCGGCCTCCTGACCAAGCAGCACCGTGGGTAAGTGGATGGCCTGGATTCAGACCCCAGCCCTGCCCTTTTGCCCGTGGTCACGCTACCTGAGCTTGCCTTGTTAGGTTCCTCATCTACAACGCAGGCATGAAAATAACCATACAGGGCTTTTGAGAGGATTTAAATAAGTTTATATTTAAGGTGCTGAGAACAGTGCGTAGTAAGTTATCTGTGTGTCATGTTATCACTTGCTACACTGCAATCACTTTTGTATCATTTATTTGGTAACATTGTTGTCTCTCTTAATATAAGCTTTAAGGAGCTACAGGCTTTGTTCAGGTCACTGCTTTATCTTTGGTGCCTAAAACAGCGCTTGATGAAGTGGGGGGGGGGAAATGGTAGATTGCCTAAAGAGGAAAAACAGGGGCACATTTAAGATTTTTTGAATAGCCGTTACCAGTGATGCATATACTAAAATGGTGCTAAAAGTGTCTTTCTACCCTCTTTCTGCTAACAAACTAATGACACTTGGGGAAATTGCTGCCCTCATACATCACTCTGTTGCTGTTGACATTGTGGATTGATAAACAATCTTTTCTGTAATTCATTTGATAATACATAGCAATCCATTTGCCACTCTCCTTTGAGCCCAATTAAGCCAAGTCCTTGGGATATCCTTGAATAACTTGGGGAAAAAGAATATATTCCTGAAAATGTGCCTCCTAGCATTATTTATGATAGTAAAAATTAGGAACAACCTAAATATTCTATGATAAAGGTAAATAATAAAGATGTTATGGATCGGAAGTGGAAGTGAATATGAATAAATGGAAGCACATTAAGATGGAGGAATATGCAGTTACTTTTTCTTTTGAATGGTTCCTTTACTGTCAAAATAGTATTGTTTTAATACTACTTGATAGTATTAAACGTAATGTTGTATTTAATACTGTTTAATAGTAAACGTTGAAAAAATCCACACGAAACTACTTCTCTCAGGAGACTGTTTCTTAGCACTCTTTGCAGCAGGCTAGAAAAAAAATTAATTGGCTCTTTGAGCCTGCCCCGGAGTCATAATTTTTCTCGAGCTTCCCTTATTTCTGCTCTCCAGGAGTTCCTGCACAATCCTGGCTGATCCCTTATTGTGATACTTAGCCTTGTGTGCATGATTTGCAGAATAAATTGGGAATTACTCATGCATATGAATTAATGCATCTTAGCTCTTAGATTCTCTTAAGGAAGTATTCTTTGAAAGCGTGGTTTATTTATTTTTTGTTTTGTTTTAAAGGTTTTATGTATTCATTTGACAGAGATAGATACAGTGAGAGAGGGAACACAAGCAGGGGGAGCAGGAGAGGGAGAAGTAGGCTTCCCGTGGAGCGGGGAGCCTGATGTGGGGCTCGATCCCAGGACCCTGGGATCATGACCTGAGCCGAAGGCAGACACACAACGACTGAGCCACCCAGGCGCCCCGAAAGCGTGGTTTATACTAAGATTAAGGGCAGTACTTTCCGTATAGTCTGTTTCTAATCTTAGATGTATTGTTCTAAGAAACATTTGTCCGTGTCATGTTCCCAGTTGTTTGTTTTTCTTTTCTTTTAAGATTTTATTTATTTATTTGACAGAGACAGTGAGAGAGGGAACACAAGCAGGGGGAGTGGGAGAGGGAGAAGCAGGCTTCCCACTGAGCAGGAAGCTGCGGGGCTCGATCCCAGGACCCTGGGATCATGACCTGAGCCGAAGGCAGATGCTTAAGGACTGAGCCACCCAGGCGCCCCCCCCCCCACTTGTTTCTTTAATCATATTTAAGGAGTGTCCTTGAGGAAAACTTCACCTTCTTGAAGATTAAAGCCTACCTCTCTGTTCCCAGTCCAAATGTCTGCAAAGCTGAGCAAGTCATCACTTCTACCACAAACTGCAGAGGAGTCTGACAGCATTCTGATAGTGAAGATGGAAGAGGAAGAGCAGGCCTGTGATCTGGACTCCAGCCTCCCCTGGAGCACCTCCTGCAGCCCAGAGACCTTCCGCCAGCGTTTCAGGCGGTTTGGCTGCTCTGATTCCGCAGGGCCCCGGGAGGCCCTGAGCCGGCTCCGGGAGCTTTGCCATCAGTGGCTGAGGCCGGAGGTGAACTCCAAGGAGCAGATCCTGGAGCTGCTGGTGCTGGAGCAGTTTCTGAGCATCCTGCCTGAGGAGCTGCAGATTTGGGTTCAGCAACATAGTCCAAAAAGCGGCGAGGAGGCTGTGACCCTGTTGGAGGAGCTGGAGAAAGAACTTGATGAGCCAGCTGAGCAGGTAAAAAGGCATCTGGTGGGGGTGAGTGACCAGTTGAGTTTGGAGCTCTGGGGCATCACTGGGGGTAGAGCTCTCAAACTGTACTCCTACTCAGCACACTAAACACGTAGGGTGGTGAATGTCCTCCCGCCTGTGCCAGAAAACAGAGTGTGGCTCTGCTTTCTTCCTCCCTTTTCCTGAATCCCAGGATATTTTTCTGTGTAGTTTCTTCTCTATTATTTTTTTTATTTTATATTTTTTTAAGATTTTATTTATTTATTTGAGAGAGAGAGAGCCCAAGCAGGGGGAGTGACCAAGGGAGAGGGAGAAGCAGACTCTCCGCAGAGCAGGGAGCCCGACGCGGGGCTCGTTCCCAGGACCCCGGGCTCATGACCTGAGCCGAAGGCAGACGCTTAAGCCAGAGCCACCCAGGCGCCCCTTCTTATTATTTTATCCCAAAGTCCCAACCAGATTCCCTTCTTCAGCCTCAGTTATACCTAACTGCTTCCAGGTCTGTTTTGGACAAAATAAGGACATGCCTGCAGAGAAGCTGACAGCCGGGGAAATTACTCAGGAGCCCCCACGTAGCCAGATCAAGCCCGGAAAGCAGCCGCTGCCATGGGTGTCCCCGGAGTTTCGCTCAAGGCAAAAAGGTGAGGGGCGGGATTCAGTTCATGGTGGGGGCAAAGGTGGCCTCTCAGCCCACCATACACGTCTCGGCTGCTTTCGGCAAACGGTCTCAAATCTCCCCTCCTGCATCCTCTTCACCGTGGGGACTTCCACCATTAGATGTTGTGCTAATAATAATTCTGTGTTTTGTTCTTGTTTCTTTCCCAGAGAGTCTTATGATATCTTTCAGATTTTTAAATCCTTAACATCATCTCCATGGGGATTTTCAAACCTTTTTTGAAGAAGCATGACCCTTGGGGCGGCTTGGGTGGCTCAGTCAGTTAAATGTCTGCCTTCGGCTCAGGTCCCGCTCCCTGTGTCCTGGGATCGAGCCCCGCATCGGGCTCCCTGCTCAGTGGGGAGTCTGCTTCTCCCACTTCCTCTGCCCCTCTCTCTGTGTGTGCTTGTGCTCTTTCTCTCTCAAATAAATAAAATCTTTTTTTAATTTTTTAAAATTTATTTATTTGAGAGAGAGAGAGAAATAGCATGAGAGGGGAGAGGGTCAGAGGGAGAAGCAGGCTCCCCGCTGAGCCTGGAGCCTGATGCGGGGCTCGATCCCAGGACTCTGGGATCATGACCTGAGCCAAAGGCAGTTGCTTAACCGACTGAGCCACCCAGGTGCCCAATAAGTAAATAAAATCCTAAAAAAAAAAAAAAAAAGAAAGTATGGCCCTTTTCTGAAATGAAATTCTGCCGGGAGTCCCAGTATATAAAACAGATGAAAGCACAGCCACCCTCAGTGATGCCAGAGCAAGCAGCGTCCATCCACAAGGGCTCCAACTTGGCTCCCCCCACCGAGGGACCCCAGTCAGTCTAAAGACCACTAGTCTACCTCATCATTTTCTGTCCAGCTTCTTGCTCGGTTACTGGTGGCATCCAGTGTTAAAATCACCATATTGCTGCTAAGATGACTTTACCCGCACACCCTAAACTGATCTCTGTTGCTGCCTGCATCACTTTTTACAAAAGTGCTCCAAAATGGCTGCACAGCAACCTGTTCTTCTCAAAAGATAAGTGCTGTGGGAAAAAAGCAAAGCAGAATAAGGGGAATAGGTTTTACTGAACAAAGTAGGGACAGAGTCTTATTTAATAAAGTGGTGGAGAAAGCCTGTTTGATGAGCGACATTTGAGCAGAGACCTTCCTTCTAGATGATCATGCTGGATAAAATGGGAGTCAGAAATGAAGAGGGAGGGGCACCTGGGTGGCTCAGTCGTTAAGCGTCTGCCTTCGGCTCAGGTCGTGATCCCAGGGTCCTGGGATCGAGCCCCGCATTGGGCTCCCCGCTCCGCGGGAAGCCTGCTTCTCCCTCTCCCACTCCCTGTGCTTGTGTTCCTGCTCTCGCTGTGTCTTTCTCTGTCAAATAAACAAATCTTAAAAAAAAAAAAGAAAAGAGGGAAACCCCACTTGGGAGGATCTCCCCTTCTCCCCCCAGCACAGCTTCCATATTCCACAGGGCAAGGTTAGAGTTTTTCCAAGGTACTTTTTTTTAATTAATTTTATTTTATTATGTTATGTTAGTCACCATACATTACATCATTAGTTTTTGATGTAAGGTACTTTTGATAAGAAAATATAGGAAAAACAAAATACAAAAATTTAGAGACTTAGAAAGTATTTCTCTTAATTGACAAGTACCTGCTCCCAAGAGGCTTGTACCAGGCACTTAACACCTCCAGTCTAGCAGTTGTCTTGGCTTAACTGAGAGAGAAATGAAAGTCTTTTCCCACTCCCTCAGGATCAGGAGGGAACCACCCCTACCTCAGCAGCTTTTTCTGGTAGTGACAACAAAAGTAATCAGCCTCAAAGCCAGGGTTTGGGACCCCAGGGTTGACAAGAACTATGTTCTACCTCTGAATGTCCTCACAGAGGCCTTTCTTACACTTTTTGTTTTATTTTTTACATTTTATTTTTTTCACCATGATAACTGTACTCTTTAATCCCCATCCCCTATTTCTCCACCCCCCCACTTCCCTACCTGGTAACTGATGGTCTGGTAACCATCAGCTCATTCTTTGTAGTTAAGAGTCTGTTTCTTGGTTTGTCTCTCTCTCTCTCTCTTTTTTTTTCCCTTTATTCATTTGTTTTGTTTCTTAAATTCCACATATGAGTGAAATCATATGGTATTTGTCTTTCTCGGACTGACTTATTTCACTTCCCATAATACTCTCTAGCTTCATCCATGTCATTGCAAATGGCAAGATTTCATTCTTTTTTATGGCTGAGTAATATTCCTGTGTGTGTGTGTGTGTGTGTGTGTACACATCACATCTTCTTTCTCCATTCATCTATAGATGGACACTTGGGCTGCTTCCATAGTTTGACTACTGTAAATAATGCTGCTATAAAATAGGGGATGCGTGTATCCCTTTGAATTAGTGTTTTTGTATTTGTTGGGTAGATATCCAGTAATGCAATTCCTGGATTATAGAGTAATTCTATTTTTAATTTTTTGAGGAACCCTCATACTGTTTTCCACAGTGGCTGCAGCAGTTTGCATTCCCACCAACAGTGCAAGAGAGTTTCTTTGTCTCCACATCTTCACTAACACTTTTTCTTGTGTTTTTGATTTTAGCCATTCTCACAGGTATGAGGTTGTATCTCACTGTAGTTTTGATTTGTATTTCCCTGATGATGGGTAATGTTAAGCATCTTTTCATGTGTGTTGGCCATCTATATGTCTTCTTTGGAGAAATGTCTATTCTTGTCTTCTGCTCATTTTTTGAGTTGTGTAAGTTCTTAATATATTTTGGACACTAACTCTTTATCAGATATGTCATTTGCAAATATCTTCTGCCATTCAGTAGGTTGCCTTTTAGTTTTGTGGATTGTTTCCTTTGCTATGCAGAAACTTTTTATTTGATGTACTTCCAGTAGTTTATTTTTGTTTTTGTTTCCCTTGCCTCAGGAGACATATCTAGAAAAATGTTGCTATGGCTGATGTCAGATTACTGCCTTTGTTCTCTTCAAGGATTTTTATGTTTTCAGGTCTCACATGTAGGTCTTTAATACATTTTTTAGTTTATTTTTGTGTATGATGTAAGAAACTGGTCCAGTATCATTCTCTTGCATGTAGCTGTCCAGTTTTCCCAACACTTTGTTGAAGAGGCTGTCATTTTTCCATTGTATATTCATTCCTCCTTCGTTGAAGATTAATTGACCATAAAATTATAGGTTTATTTCTGGGTTTTCTGTCCTCTCTCATTGATATATGTGTTTATTTTTGTGCCAGTACTATAGTGTTTTAATTACTGTCACTTTGTAATATAACTTGAAATCTGGAATTGTGATACCTCAAGTTTTGTTTTTCTTTTTCAAGATTGCTTTGGCTATTTAAGGTCTTTCACAGTTCCATACAAATTTTAGGATTGTTCTAGTTCTGTGAAAAATGCTGTTGGTATTTTGATAGGGATTGCATTAAGTCTGTAAATTGCTTTGGGTAGTATAGACATTTTAACAATGTTTGTTCTTCCAACCCATGGGCATGGACTGTCTTTCCATTTCTTTGCATTGTCTTGAATTTCTTTCATCAGTGTTTTATAGTTTTCAGAGTACAGGTCTTCCACGTCTTTGGTTAAATTTATTCCTAGATCTTTTATTGTTTTTGGTTCAGTTGTAAATGAGATTGTTTTCTTAATTTCACTTTCTGCTGCTTCATTATTAGTGTATAGGAATGCATCAGATTTCTGTACGTTGATTTGTATCCTGCGACTTACTGAATTCATGTATCAGTTCTAATAGTTTTTTGGTGGAGCCTTTAGAGTTTTCTAGATAAAGTATCAGTCATATGCAAATAGTGAGAGTTTCACTTCTTCCTTACCAGTTTGGAGCCTTTTATTTCTTTATGTTGTCTGATTGCTCTGGCTAAGACTTCAGTACTTTGTTGAATAAAAGTGGCGAGAGTTGACGTCCTTGGACTTTGATGGATGATAGGGACCAGACATTGAAGTCACTTTGGAATTTGAGCTATCAAAAATGAATTTGAGACAGAATTCTTACCATTTACAAAGTGATTTCTGTTTACACCAGTAATAATGCCATTCAGCTAGTACTATAAAATACATGTAAGAGTAGAGGTTTTTTGTAAATGGGTACTCTGCTACCCTTGATTTATTTGAGATGTCAGTTATCCTAATCTATAATCCTCCCCCTTTCCCCCCTAATTTGTATTTCTGACCATATTTCCATATTCGTTCTTGACCCCTTGGCTTTCTTCATTTCATTTATCATTATTAAACTTTTATTTATTGACCTTCATACTGAGTCTTGTTTATTACTACCCAATGCCACATCTGGCTCCTCTCCATCGGTTGCTTCTCTGCTTCTCCCATAATTCCTCATCTTCTAGTCCCTTTTCTTCCAGATACTTTTTCAGTCTCTGATATATCCTTTTGCATGGAGCTTTTCGTCTTTATAGTTGACTGTCTCCTCAATATATAAATCTTTCCTTTTTGCCTTATGATCGTCTCAATGTTTTGTGACTTCCCATCTCCATCTTCCACATCGTGATGCTATTTTATAAACATGCTAGCCAATAAATAATCCATATATATTTCCTTTGGATCATTCTATTTGCCTTTCTTTCTTTCTGTGCAGAGAACTGGTGACATTGCTTTTCTGTGTATTATTTCAGCTAAAGACACGAAAACTATAAATGTGAATTCAGCTTTGACACAAAAGACTTCTCCAGGCATGGAGCTGCATTACACCGTTTCTAACACCCTTCCTGTGGATGCTTCCCAGAGTTGCACATATAGAAGAGGCAGTGAACAAGATGGCAAGTTTGAAAGAAGACAGAGAAACCCTTTTGGAAAAAAACAACACAAGTGTGATGAATGTGGCAAAGTCTTCAGTCAGAGCTCAGCCCTTATCCTCCATCAGAGAATCCACAGTGGGGAGAAACCTTACGCATGTGACGTGTGCGCAAAGGCTTTCAGCCGGAGTGCCGTCCTGATTCAGCATCGAAGAACGCATACTGGGGAAAAACCCTACAAGTGTCATGAATGTGGCAAAGCCTTTAGTCAGAGCTCAAATCTTCTCAGACATAGGAAAAGACACACGAAAGAAAAAGTCCCATCAGTGTTGTAAGGGAATCAAAGCATTTGCTCAGAGCTTTTTCAGCAGGAAAAGACACAAAGCACAAACACTCCTTTAGTATTTCAGTGGGCACTAGGTTGCTTTGAAAAGTCATAAAAGCTACAGGAGAGAATGTAAAATATCTTCTGTCAACGTTGTTTGCGCTTCTGCTTATCAGTACAGTGTCAATTCAGATGTTTGAGATTTTTGTGAAAACTTAATTCGGATTTCCATCCCTAGGGCAGCTCTTGAACAGACATTCTCAAACGTGTTCTATATCCATTACTAACACAAATAATGAACTAGTACATTTCTTTTTAGACAAATTTTCCCTGTTGAGAAGGAATGTGTGAGTTACTCAGGATAAAAATAAGTATTTTCCCCCATTCCATAACTTGAGCCCTGGAGTTCCCAGACCAAAGATTAGAGCATTTAAAAATTTTTTACCATTTGTTTTTTGTTACCAGACTCAAAATATGAGAATAGGATTGAGGAGGCCCAAAAGAATGTGTACCTTCAGACCAAGGCTGAAATGTCCAGAGTCAATTGTTAGGGGGTAGATGAGTAAAGGCATTTAATCTCTTATGAAAATTCACAAAAGCCTACACCATTGATGTTACTAAGTAGGCTTTTTTTTTTTTTTTAGACTTATTTATTTTGAGAGAGAGAGAGTGTATGAGTGGGGAAAGGGGCAGAGGGAGAGAGAATCTCAAGCTGGCTCCCCTGCTGAGCGAGGAGCCCACAACCCTGAGATCATGACCTGAGCCAAAATCAAGAGTCAGATGCCTAACCAGATGAGCCACCCAGGCGCCTGCTAAGTAGTTTTCTATGTAGGAAAAAAATCTCCTTTACAATGTAATTTGGAAATAATTCAGTGAAAACAGCAAGATGGCTCTACATGTCTTAGATAAGGGCATAAACATAAGGAATGTTCTAATAAACAGGGCTATCTATTTGTGCTTATATAAAGTTCATAATCATGTTAAAATGAAAAAAGGAGGGGCGCCTGGGTGGCTCAGTCGTTAAGCATCTGCCTTCGGCTCAGGTCATGATCCCAGGGTCCTGGGATCGAGCCCTGCATCGGGCTCCTTGCTCAGCAGGGAGTCTGGTTCTCCCTCTCCCTCTGCCCCTGCTTGTGTCCCCTCTATTGCTTTGTGTCTCTCTGTCAAATAAATAAATAAAATCTTAAAAAAAAATGAAAAAAGCGAGGTGAAGAAAGACTGTCCAAATAAGACTGATAGAACACGAATATGAGCAAGTGTGATCTATAATGGAGAAGTGTGCCACAGCTCACGTGGAGAAGGAAACCCTTAACCAGCTGACAGCTCTCCTTCAGTGTTCTTCAAGGCCCCTTTTCTGGCATAAATCAGCTGTGAGCATATTTCAGGCATCTCAACCATTTTCAGGGTCTTATGCATTCTCAGTGAGGTTTGTTTCTAGACAAGCTGTCAAGACACCAGCCCCTGTGTTTTGAACCTCTTGTACAAAATTTCTAAAGTTTAGTTTGAAGAGTCCGCTGAGTTTTGCCCATATTTAAGTCAGTCAGATTTCCTGTTTAAAATGACTGACTTAGGGGCGCTTGGGTGGCTCAGTCGTTAAGTGTCTGCCTTCGGCTCAGGTCATGATCCCAGGGTTCTGGGGTCGAGCCCCGCATCGGGCTCCCTGCTCTGCCGGAAGCCTGCTTCTCCCTCTTCCACTCCCCCTGCTTGTGTTCCCTCTCTTGCTGTGTCTCTCTCTGTCAAACAAATAAATAAAATCTTTAAAAAAAATAAAATGACTGACTTATATGTTATTACAATTATTCTGACAGTATACAACATGATGTTCCCTTTTCTAGGGATTCTTGATAAAACTGTGTTACAAGAATACATGCATTAAAATGTGTTCTGTGGTGCCACAGTTACCCAATATGAAAGCAAACATTAGAAATGAAAGTCCTTAGGAGAAGGGAAGAGAGGGCTTATAGTGAACTTGGGGATCCTTGTGAAGTATAAACATTGTATTATCAGAAAATCTAACCACATCTAGTGCTTAGAGTGGGATTACTGTGCTCTACTTAGAATATTGATAATGTAAGAATGGTAAGGGGAGAAGTGAATGTAAATTGTAATTATAGAGTTTTCTGATAGTGACTATACTTCGTAGCTCTAGTGAATATTAATATACAGAGGGTTTTGTATATTTTCAGTTATTAAAAGTATAGATGTCTTTGGGCTCATTCTCTTTGTAATTAAAGGAACAAGCCATCTATGAAAGCAGCAAATGCCTCAGATACGTGTATTGTGAATTATTGCTTAATTATGGAAAGACAGAGTTTCTTGTTACTATGAATAAAATGACAGAATCTCAAATCAGGCGTTCTGAGGGAAGTTGTCTTCACTTGGTGCTGCCATAAACCTTAAGAGATTGTATTCTTTGCATTGTGAATAATCTGAATTTCTCCCACAGAAGGTGGTGTGAGTCATATCATCTAAGTACGTGACAAAATCTTTGAAGGGTATTGCTGTGTCCTGGGAGTTAATCATGAACTTACATAGGTCTCCTAATGCTAGTTCATTCAAATGGAGATTTACTATGACTTGGGCTAAACTTGATTTTAAAAATTAGTAGGATGTTAGCACCCCCGTTAGATTAATTTCCATAGATAGTAAATACTCCCAAGTGAAATTTATATTTTTATGAATTTCACTTCATCTTGACCTTTAGTATTAGCTGTAATCCTATGTTCCCTCTTTACCTCTGTCTCATTCTCTTCAGAGACCAGATCACATGTTGGTCACTGCCCTTAAACATTCCCGTATTGGGAATGCTTCTGGATGCAAAATCCACCTGTGATGGTTCAAACAAGTGAGGCTTTGTAACCAGAAATCTGGAGGTGAGTTGCTGCTGACTGTGAGTCAGCAGGTGGACAACGACTGATCTGGATGTGGTCTCTGCCCTTCTTTTGGCCTTTCCCTCACGTTTATTTTCTCAGACAGGCAAGAGAGCTTCCCAGCTCCAGGAATGACATCCAGGGCCAAGTCAGGAAGAAAGAGGAATCGGAGCTCCAGCCATGGCCATCTCCTTTGCTAGGAAAAGTAAAAGCTTTCCACGAAACTCCAACAAAATTCTGCTTATGTTTCCTTGTTGCAAATGTGTTTGGTAAAGCATGAGTTTTCAACCTCTAGAGGGAAAGCGGCAGGGCAGGTGGGTTTTGGCAATGGCATTGGGTCAACCCACAGTGTTTGCCACACTCCTTGGCCACCTTCCTTTTCATGGGCAGATGGCTGATTTTGCCTCCTGAATTACGGGAAAGGAACAAGAGATAACTTACAACCTCCTATCATCAAATCTGCCAGCCTATCTACACCTCACCCATCATTTCTCCTCTGGATGAAAGAGGTGTCTCTCTGGTCCCTCACCATTCCTTCCCACCTCTGAAGGACCTTGGCTGCCATTATCCCTCTCCTATTCCTTCAACCTTTGTCCTCCTTGAGGATGCATCTCTCAACATTTAAATATGGTGATGTTACTGGCCCCCCGACTCCATAGTTTTCTAGCGTATCTTTACAAAATTTGAGCTGATAGCTGATCCCCCGAGTGAGGGGGAACAAAATGGCCCTTAGCTTTGACTTCTTCATATGCCTCCATTTCTTTCAACCAGAATGATCTTTCAAAAACATACATTTGATCATGTCCCTTCCTTGATCAAAATACAGGCGTCCCACTGCTTTTAATATAAAGTTAACGCTTACACAAAGTTTTGAGGCTTTTTGTGATCTGACCACAGCTTACCACTTCAGCTTTATCTCTTGCCATCACATCCTTCATACTCTATGCCAAAGCCATTCTGGATTATCAGAAGTTCTCCTGCCCCCAGGCCTTTGCATGGGTTCCTTTGGAACTCTTACCAGCTTCTGCACTTAACTCCTGTGTATTTTAGCTTAGATGCCACTTCTTCCAGGAAGCCCTCTACCCTAACACACCAAGAGTAGGTTGGGGACCACTACCACACCCTTCTATTCATTACAGAGCAGTCTGTTCTTACTGGTACTACATTTATTACACAAATTATCAAGCTGCAAATATGGCCCCAAGGAAGAGGAGGTTGAATGATACTTCGGGATACTTTGGGAAGTCATGAGATAGCAAAAGAAAAAAGTGAAAAAGACCTCCTGCCCCCTGGGCATAATGGTGAGGCAAAGAGAAGGTCAGACACAGGAGTCCCTTTACCTCTGCACCCAACCCCTGCAGAAATGCCAGAGGGGATTGGGAGAGAACTTGAAAGGGGAAAGTGCTAGGCCCACTTTCTCTTGAGTGCATTGGGAGAGCAATTGCTCAACAGACTTCCTGTTTTCCAACACTGGACTATTCTAAAAATGGCAATGCAGTGTTAGGCAAAGGGCCTCTACCAGCTAACATATGACTTAGAAGATCTATAGCAGTTCTCCATGCTCAGTGGGGACCCTGGAAAAGAACTGATTGCACCAGCTGGAGAGTTGGGACCATTGCACAAAGTAACTTTGTGGATCTTGTAGCTAACAGCTGCAGGACCCAGCAGGCCCAGGATCAGCTAGGAGTCTCAGTCACACCTTAGAGGGTGGCTAGGACCGATGTAGAGATGACAAATGAAGGAAAAGATACTGGCCTCCAGCCTAGCCAAAAAAACAAATCACTGATTGTCATAGGTGTGGTGAGCAAACACCACGGCAGACCACCTGTGAAGACTAGAGACCAGAACAGAAGGACAGCAAGCCCATCTGAGACCCAATCCATAGCACCACCTCACCTAGGCAAATGTAAGCCCCCTCCCCAGATATCCAGATGGCAGAAAAAGGGCAGAGCAGGAAATAGCCATGTTAGGGAGTTGAACTGAAAATGGACTGAATAATTACATTCTTTCACCACCCACCCAACAGGGTGGGAATTCAAGAAGCAAAAATATCAGTTATAAGAAATTAGCACCATTTTCCTTTGCATGTTTGAGAAGAATTGTGATAACTTTTTACCCCACCAAACAGGCACTTATATCTGCTTCTGTGTTGATGCCGCTATTTTATGTTTCTTGAAAGCATGACTGACCCATTTACTGGTGTTTCTGAAGCATCTGGCACAGTACCTGACCCATAATAGGCACTTAAATACTTGTGGAATAAGGGGTGCCTGGGTGGCTCAGTCAGTTAAGCGTCTGCCTTCAGTTCAGATCATGATGCCAGGGTCCTAGGATTGAGCCCCGCATCAGGATCCCTACTCACTGGGAGTCAGCTTCTCCCTCTTCATCTGCCTCTCTCCAGGCTCATGCTCTCTCTCTTTCTCAAAAAAAAATTACAAAAATAACAAGTGTTGGTAAGGATGTGGAGAAATCGAAACCCTTGTGCATTGTTGATGCGAATGTAAAATGGTGTAGCCACTGTGGAAACCAGTTTGATGGCTCCTCAAAAAGCTGAACATAGAACTACCAAATGATCCAGCAACTCCACTTCTAGGTATATTATCCAAAAGAACTGAAATCAGGGACTCAGACAGATACTTGTACACCCCTGTTCATAGCAGTATTATTCACAATAGCCAAAAGGTGGAA